AGGCAACCCACTGCAGCACCTGGCAGCATAGAATTTGCTGTTAAGTATGAACAGATGCTGCAACAGGCCGTTGAACATATTAGAAAGTCTCAGGATGCTATGATCGCATCTGATATTAAACATAGACGACCTTCTAACTTTCAGGTAGGTGATAGATTCTGGGTAAAGTCATCTGAACTGGGTCAGGAGTTGGGAATTTCTAGAAAGTTAATGCCACAGTACTTCGGTCCTTGGGAGGTCTTAGACATTGTGGGAGATCAGATAGATGGACCTTCCTATGTGATTCGCATCTCCCCACATCTACGTACACACCCTGTATTCCATGCCTCAAAGTTGGCACCTTTCGCAAAGTCTGCACAATTCCTTTCTAGACGGTCAATGCGGCCCCCAACCATGGATGGCGAAGTAGACATCGACCAGATCGTGGAGCATCGTGTGATGACTGTTCCTCGACCACCGGGCAGAGGCCTCTCTCCTAAGCCAAAAATGCAGTACCACGTCAAATTCAGACATCATTTGGATCCTAGCGAAGATCGGTGGTTCACCAGAGAAGAACTCATGAGAACTGCACCTCAAGTCATTGCAGGCTACAGAGATCTCAAAGGAAAGATGCCTGCAGAATAGAAGACTTCTCAAGGGACTATCGAAGTACAGGAGGAGGCAATGCGAGGATTCAGATCCTCGGCAGGCCTAAGGGGGCCCCTGTTGCATCTGTGCCCGCCCTAAGTGAAGGCGGGCCTAACAAATCACGAGAGGCCCTCGGCTGTCAATTTCGCATTTGGGGTCCAGGCAGTTTCGTCGCGCCAGTTGGTTGAAGGAAAACACAGGCCGAGCAGCGTGGAAATTCCCAGGCCTTCTAGGCCTTTCCGAAAACACAGGCCCTGGGCGAGATTCGCAGCCTCATACATAGACAGTTGGGAGGCCCAACCGAATGAGGGCCAGTAGCTGCACCAGAGGCGCAGCATCCTGGGGCCTACCGGAAGCTTCTGGGCCCAGGCCAGTCCAGCCAGGCTGCCGAACGAGGCAGGCTCTCTTTCGATATAGGAAAGAGCTCGCTGCGTGGCCAGTCATTCGGGCACTCGCATGCTGGCGGCAGCGCTGCTGGAGCTGAAGCTCGTGGGCTGCTGCTAGCGCTGAGAGGCGAGGTGCTAGCACGTGCGGTCGTGCAGGGAGCAGGGTGCTGCTGAGGGCAGCGCCATAGCCCAGCCTCCATAGCTGGCGGACTTGGATGTACAGTGAGGCGCAGGGGTGGTCTTCGGGTGTTCTACAAGGGAAGACGTGGGAGAGAGTCAGGGGAGAGAAAGAAGGATGATGATGATGATGTGAGGGCACATACCTGGTATTGGCGATGGTTCTGCATGGGCGACATCTTCAAGTACTTCGGAGGCTGCTGACATCAACAGTTGCATTGTCAATTAGTAGGCTAGTAGTAGCTGTGTAGGGAGTAGGCTGGGCGCCGAGCGCCAAGTAGGGAGATAGGGACCGGATACATATGTCGGTGGTGGCGAGAGCAAGCTCTCATTGACATTGAGCTTTCAGTGCTACTATTCTCCATTGGTGTCATATTGGTGCAATGCTACTTTCTGAACACTGTGATACGATCTGGCTTTCAATGTGATTGTGCAATCTGATTATTGTCATCTCGCTTCTGTTCATTTTCCTTGCATGAGTCTCACAGGTCATGAAAAGTGGAAAAGAAAAACGTTTGAAAATCAGATCCATCGATAAGTTTTAAATTTTGATATGCGCCTTTCAATTTCTATTTTTTTTATTAAATAAAAAAACAATCGCAGTAAGGAGCGTTGACTATGAAGAATTTCCGGCTAGTGGCCTATTCAGTAGTCTCATGAAAGAAAGAAATCTATTAAACAATTGTAATTTCTATACTTTTTGGTTTTTTTGCTTATTCATATCGAAATAGACGTGCGTGTCCAGATTGAAGGGGTCTGGAGACTCTCCCTCCCTACGGTTAGGGTGGTGAAGGGCTGTTACCTTGGAAAGGGTAGTCCAACATCTTGGTCTGATGGGCAGTTAATCCCCCCCGTTCAGGGCAATCAATGACGTCCGTCGTGTGCAATGTGCAACTTACAACATGCTCCATTTTGGTAATTGGGATGCTGGACCCGGTTTCCAGCTGGTGCAGCTCCCCACCAATAGATTGGAGGCATCTCTAAGAGGGAGCCTATCATTGGAGAATACTCTTATCACCCCCAATGATAGGCATCCCATGGATGTTTTTTCACAAAAAAGTCGAAAAAACAACAAAAACAACAAAAACAACAACAACAACTAAAAACTTGTTGAAACCACAAAAACAACAAGTTTGACAATTTGAGTTGTTTTATCATTGACCTCTTTTAGGGGCTCTCACTGTGGGCGTCGTATTCGCTCTATTTGCATGTGCACGACATGCATACGGCATGAAGCACGGTATGGACAAGGCAAAATATAGCACAGCATAGCGGGCAGGTAGCAAGGCAAGCAGGTGAGCAGGCGGGTGGGTGGAACACCAAAATAGCAAGGCACACAGCAACACAAAGACCCATGAGCGCAGCAAGGGGCAAAGCGGACTATCACATACTCGCGGTCATATGGAAAACCCAGCAGACTCTTGGTTCCCACCACCATCAGAAACCAGGAAGCCACTTGATGAGTGTCTGTCAGCCACTGGAAACACAGACTCAGGCATCCCAAGCACCACAGCCCCTCTAGTGTTGCAGGCACTCCATACAAACAGGCATCGACCGTTTGGCAGAACTTAAGAGGCACTCAACTTCGACACAGAAAAGTACAGGACAAGGCTACCCCATCCAGCAAATGGACCGCAACCCAGAGAAAACAAGTATATATAAATATTCAATAAAGTTTAATAAACTGTTTGTATGTGTGTTATCGTGTTTGCTATACACAACTCCACCAAAAAAGCATGACTGTCCCGAACAGACTGTTTCGTTTGACTGTCACCGACTCATCAGGGGGTTGAGCCTGGACAGACAGTCTGGCCAGGATGCATTTGACTGATGGATAAGGACTCATCACGTCACCCAGAGTTAGCTTTACCTCTGGTGCACCCATTAAAGTCGGCCTTTACTGAGTGGTCGACTTTACTCACAACCAGCCTGCAAACCTAGCACACTGTTGGTCCAAGGCCCTGATGAGAATGGAGTAAGTCAGAGAAAGTACTCGGTCAAAGCCTTAAAACTTAAAAGTTAAAACCCACTTCTACAGTGGATGTGTTTTCTAAGGCCCACTGAATTCTCTCTCCCATTCCATGCACAAATCATAATAAGCCATCCATAGAACAAAGAACGGAAAAAAAAGTATAGGCAGGCAATATAATAGAAAGTGCAAGGTTCCCCACGTTTGTGCAGATATATATATATATATATATGTATATATATATATATATATATATATATATATATATATATATATATATATATCG